GGGGCGCCTTGTGGGAGTGCCTTGCGAGAGCTTGGGGACGCTTGGGGGCGCCTGGGGAGCCTCTGGGGAGCTGGCCGGCGGGCGCCTGGGAAGCGCCCGCTGGAGACGCCAGGGAACGCCTGGGCAGCGCCGGGGCAACGCTTGAGACGCCTGGGATGTTTGGGGCGCTTCAGGGGGCAGCGCCGGGGAGTGCTTGGGGAGCGCCGGGGGGCCCCCGGGAGCGCTTGGGGAGCGCTGCCGGGCGCGACTGGGATCGCATGGGAGCGCCCGGGAGCGCTTGGGGGCACTCGGGAGCGTCTGGGGCAACGCTCGGGGGCGCCCGGTTAAGCCTGCGAAGGCAAGGCGCGCCACGAACCTTGAACCTGCGCGCGCAGGCAAACAATGCGCAAATCTTAAACCTGCGCACGCAGGCAAGGCAGATCACAGACCTGAAACCTGCGCGCGCAGGCAAGTCAGAACACAAGCCTTCGACATGCCACATGCAACGCACGCTTGCGACTAGAGTGCTTCGACTGCGAAAGGAGACTACTCACCCTCCTCCTGCGTGGACGGCCAACGCTGGCACATTGACCCTTGGCTGATGCCCGAGGCACACAGCCGCCAGCATGGAACCTCTTCCCATGAGAGGGGGAGGAGCGACGCGCGCTCTTGCGCTCGGAGTTCCTTGGCGCATCGGGTGGTTTCGCTCAGGCAAAATCCAGAAACCAGGACCCCAGCGACCAGGGGCGCACCAGGGAACGAGGAAATGTATGTCCACGTTCATCTTTGCATTGGAGCATCGTCGAGCTTTGCTTCGGCGTAACCCGAAAACCGAGACCCGGGCCACCAGGATGAGCGCGCGCGTTCCTGCGCGCGCGTCACACGAACACGCGCAACAAATCGCGCATCTTTCGAAGAGATGCATGGATTGCTTTCATTGGCATGGGAACGCCGCGGGGTAGCGGGCCAACTTAACAGAATGTGTCCCCTGTGCCCTCACACGGTTCGACATTACAAAATGAATAGAACAAAATGAGGCCTTGCGCGCGCTATGGCGCGTCGGATGGCGTCCTGCGCGCGCTATGGACATAACGCAAATGACCTCACCTGACGACTCGCAAACAACGCAAATGGCCCCGCGCTCGCACGCGCCGCGCAGGACGAGTTTGTGCAGCACTGACCAGACACTCCCCTGGGAGACAACAGGGACGACCGGCAGACATCGCAAGCCACGAATGCGCGCGCGAGAACGCCGACCCGCGACCCCTTCCCCAGACCTCGGACAGACCGGCGCTGCCGTTGCACTCTCGGAGGGCTGGCCCAGCAGCCACGCCTGCCGCAACCACAACGTGTGCATGCTGGGGGCGGCGAGCCCCCCACGCGGGCGCCGCCTCCTCGCCCTGCGCGCGGGCCCGCCCGCGCTCAGCGGCCCCTTAGCTTAAGTCGGGCCTGTCCCCGTACACGGGGATTTTCGACGAACGACAACAAATATTCCCAAAATAGGTAAAAAATAGTCCAAAAATAGTCTGGGGAATATATTTGTTGAGTATTTTTTGACCTTCTTGGGGTATTTGGGGGGTATGTTTAAACTTTCGTCGAAAATCCCCCTGTATGGGGGACACGCCCGACATAAGCCTAAGCCCTTAACCCTAAGCCCTCCTCCCCTCCCCCCCCATCCTCGGCCCGTGGGCGAACACACACACACACACACACACACACACACACACACACACACACACACACACGCACACATCTGCAGCCACGGCGCTTCGCGTGCGGCCCTGGCCCAGGACCGCACGCATGCCCCGCACAGGTGCGGCTACTCGGCCGCACAGCTGCCTTCCGCACACGGATGCCCCGCGAGGAAAGAGCATACCTGTGCGGCCGAGCAGCCGCGGCACCGGGCCCCTGGGAGCCCGGACCGCGAGGCCGCGGCTGCGGCTACGCTCGCCGCTCGCAGCCCCCCTCTGGCGCGGGGCCCCCGACGTTTTTTTTTTTTATTTATTTTAAAAAATGCACACCGTCGCGGCCTCGGCCAGCCGGCGCCGGCAGCAGCCGCGGTCGGGGAGCCTGGCGGCGCGAGGCGCGAGGCGGGAGGACCGAGGCCCCCGCTGCTCGAGGATGGAGCCTCTCGGGGCATGGAGAGGCTCGAGGCCCGAGGCGGGGGGATCGAGGCCCCCGCTGCTCGAGGATGGAGCCCCTCGGGGCATGGAGAGGCTCGAGGCCCGAGGCTGGAGGATCGAGGGCTCCCGCCTCTCGAGGCTCGCGGCTCGGGGCCCTGGCGGCCCGACCGGCGCGCGCGCGCCCCGCCCCGCGGGGGGGGGGGGGCAGCCGCCCCTCCTCCTCCTCCTCCTACTCCTCCTCCTCCTCCTCCTCCTCCTCCTCCTCCTCCTCCTCCTCCTCCTCCTCCTCCTCCTCCTCCTCCTCCTCGCCCGGCAGGCTCGTGGCGGCCTGCCACGCGCTCGTGGGCCTCGGCAGGATCGCGGGGCACCTGCAGCAGCTGCGGCCGGCGCAGCGGGAGGCCCCCCTCGTCGCCCCGGAGAGGGGCGCGGCTCGGGGAGGTCGAGGGCCTCGAGGCACCTCGAGGCGCCTCGAGGGGGTCGAGGCGCCTCGAGGAGGTCGAGGCTCGAGGCGCCTCGAGGAGGTCGAGGCTCGAGGCGCCTCGAGGGCCTCGAGGCTCTGGAGGGGAACAAAAAGCACACCTAGACACAATGCATCGTCGACTCCCGGGAAGATGGGGAAAAATATGGGAAGTGGGAGGGGGGGGGGAAGACGAAGACCCAGAAAGTATTTGCAAATGCGGGGGATCCTTTTCTTTGTGTGCATTTACTTGTGTGTCCCAGGGCCCCTTTCAGAGGCTCGAGGCCCATGCCCTCCAGTGCCGAACACGTTAGACTACACAACTAGACCTGCGAGAGCCTCCGCGCGCGAAGTGCGCGCGCGGGCGGTTCCGGTGTGCATGCACAAGGTTCATATCTGAGTCTTCGAAGGTGCTTTGATTTTTTGGGCGGGCCAAGATCCTTTCATTTCTACTTGTTCTATCCTGGGCCTCCTTCCTGGCCGCCAGGGGGCCAGGAACAATTAGAAACGAGCGCATTCAGAAATGAGCGCGATGAGAAATGAACGACGTGTATATATATATACACAGAAGACTCCATTGGCGCTTCCCGCCATGCACCTCGGTTCTTGAGGCTTTGCATATATTGGTCATTCGCGCCATGCCTAGTGGCCTTGGACGCTTGGCCCCTTCCCTGCGGTGGTTTTTCAGAAGTCTCCGAAATTCCAGGCGGTCCCAGGTCTCTCTGGGGGCTCCCGAGAGGCTCCGGGTGGAAGGCGACGGATAGGAGGGAGGGAATCTTGGAGAGCGAGGAACGGAAGCGGATGTGGGGGAGGACGAGTGTTAAGTCGGGCGTGTCCTTCTACAGGAGGAATATTCAAAAATAGTAGAAAAATAGTCTGGGGATGATCTTCTATTCTTTATAGTGTTTGAAAATTGGTTGCGTGTTTTTTTATTTTTCTTCGAACATCGGCCTGTAGGGGGACAGGCCCGACCTAGAGGGAATCTCGGAGAGCGAGGGAAGGAAGCGGATGTGGGGGGAGGGCGAGTGGTGGAGCGGCAGAAAGTCAGGCGATCACAAACATGGATCAAGGATGCGTGGATCAGCGACGGGTCCCGTTTCCAAGGGAAATCGTGGATTTCTGCCGCCGAGCGAGGCGGCATCGGTCGCATTTTGGGGAGGTCGCCTCCCCCGATCCATGGACTTGGCGACCGCGCGCCAAATCCATGGATTGCGAATCCATGTTTGCGCGCCCCCGAGAAAGAGGAGGAGGGCGCCTTCGGGGAAGGCGAAGAATGTTGCAGCGGGTCGCAGCGGGGCAAGCGAACGCAAGACATTCTTAGGGAGTGCACCCAATCCCGGGTTCGCAACAGATTTCCCAGATTTGTGGTTGCGAGCCCAGGGTTCGGGTCAGATTGGTGGAAAACGCCGTGTAGGCCTTGTTGGAGCCCTGGTGGGCCGGTCGGCTTGGGGCCGTCTCGAGCCGTCGTGGGGCCACCTTTGGCCGTGTTGGGGAGTTTGGGCCCTCTAGGGACCTTACAGGGGCTACGTAGGCCCTCCTGTTGGCCTCCCATGGTCTTTTAGGGTGCCTCCCATGGCCTTCTTGGGCTTCTCTTGGGGACCTCGCGAAGGCCTGTTGGGTATCTTTTTGGCTCATTTGGCGTTTCCTTGGGCAGTCTTGGGGCCATCCAGGCCGTCTATAGGCTCTCTTGGGGGTCTCTTGGGCCGTCTTGGGGCGATACTGGAGGCCTTCTTGGCTTCTTTGGCCGCCGCTAAGACCCGAACAGCGAATGTGCTGAAAAGGTACGCTTTCCTGCGGGAATGAAGCGATGTTTGCGTTCTGGGAGCCATGTTGAGGGCTTCTGGGCCGTCTGGGGGGCCTCTGGAGGCCCTCTGGGTCCTTCCTGGGGCGCTCTTGTGATGTCTTGGGTATTTCTTTCTGGTCACCGCTCTGATCGCTTCGGGGCCTTGTGAGGGCCTGTTGGGCCTCTCTTTGGCTCAGTTTGGGCTTCCTTGGTCAGCCTTGGGGCCATCCTGGCCGTCTAGAGGCTGTCTTAGGGGTCTCTTGGACCGTCTTGGGGTCCTGGACCGTCCTTGGAGCCTCTGGGTCCTTGGAGGCCCTCTGGGTCCTTGGGTCTTTCTTCGGCCTCTCTGGTCACCACTCTGATCGCTTCGGGGCCTTGTGAGGGCCTGTTGGGCCTCTCTTTGGCTCAGTTGGGGCTTCCTTGGGCAGTCTTGGGGCCACCCAGGCCGTCTATAGGCTCTCTTGGGGGTCTCTTGGGCCGTCTTGGGGCGATACCAGAGGCCTTCTTGGCTGTTGGACGCTGCTGGGACCCGAACATCGAAAGTGCTGAAATTGCACGCTTCCCGAAGGAAATTATCCCAGTGCGAACCTAGGAGTTGGAGCATTCAGGAATGCAACATCTACATCTGCACCGACAGCTACATGTACATCTACACCTGCATCTACATCTACATCAACATCAACAGCGAGACTCACATCTACATCTTCATATACAGCTATACTATGCTAGGGTACGCTCGTCTGCGCTGTGTTATGCTATGCTATGCTATGCTATGATATGCTATGCGTGGCTGCGCTATGCTTTGCTATGCCATGCTGCGATATGCTCTGCTATGCTATGATATGATGCGCTATGATAGGCTAGGCTATGATGTGCTATGATATGATAGGATCTGGTATGCTATGATATACTATGTTATGTTGTGCTATGCTATGCTGTGCTGTGCTGTGCTATGATATGCTGCGCTGTGCTATGCTAAGCACTCCTATGCTATGCTATGATATGATATGTTATGATGCGCTATGCCATGCTAGGCTATGCTGAGCTATGCTATGCTATGATATGCGGTGCTATATGCTATGCTATGCTATGCTGTGCTAATGCTGCGCTGCGCTATGCTGCGCTAAGCTAAGGTACACTAAACTAAACTAAGCTAGGCTAGGCCAAGTTAAGCTAAGCCAAGCCAAGCCAATCTAAGTTCAGCTAAGTTAAGATGAGATGATATGAGATAAGCTAAGTTAAAGCTGAGCTGAGCTGAGCTAAGCTAGGCTAGGCAAAGTTAAGCTAAGCTCAGCTAAGATGAGATAAGTTAAGCTAAGCTAAGCTTAGCTAAGCTAAGCTAAGCTGGGTGAACCCAGGGGGACGCAACTGGGGGAACCGCGGGGCGGATGCCGGGGGAACCGCCCGGGGCGTGTTACACTGCCTGGCCCTTTAAGCTCACCGAGTAAGAACCCTTCTAGGCAGAGCCTAGGTAGGGAATGAAGGGGATCTTGCATTCTGAGAGCCCTGTTGAAGGCCTCTTGGGCCGTCTTGGGGGCCTCGGGAGGCCATCTGGGTCCTTCTTGGAGTGCTCTTGTGCTGTCTTGGGTCTCTCTTGGGCCTCCTCTGATCACCGCTCTGATCGCTTGGGGCCTGCTGGCAGGACCCGGCTAAGCGCCTTGGCAGGTCCTGGACGAGCAGGGGGACCTTTGGCAAGGATGTGAAGGGGGCCCAGAAACCCGCGATCATCTGGCGGTCCAGTTTGGGGGGGGGAGGGGGTTTTCCCACCCCCCTGGCTTGCAAAAGATAAGAAGACATAGCTACACATATAAGCGTACCTAATTACACATACATACACACATGCATATCTTCCAGCGGTGCCCGTTGCGGACAGCTCCCCCCACGAGGAGTGTTCATCATGGGGTATCCGTGATTGCGGCACGGCTGGTGTGGGCCAGTGCGAAACCTCTGGAATGCACGACCCCCCCGAAGAAACCTTGCAGGGACCATGCGTGTTCGGACCGGTGTCCCCCGGGATTCTAGGAACCCCTTGCTGTTTGAAACCTCCGGATCCCATCAGGCTTCCAGAATCTCCCACGAAGCATCAGGACGCCTCCAGGAATTTCAGCCATGTGGAATCTCAGGAGGGCTTCCGGGATAGGAATCCATCAGGAGTCCCCCCCCACTCCCAGAGTGGGGGGGGTCGTCGGCGGCACCCGCTGCGCCCGGCACGCAGCCGGCACCCGGGGCACGGGGGAGGACGGCACCCGGTGCGACCGTTCGAAGCCCCCCGGGAATTTTGAGGGGTGGTTCGTGCCACCGCGCACCGCCGACATATTCAGCAAGGATGCGGTTCGGTTCGTCGTGGCAAGCGTGCCATCATGTGCGTTTTCTAAAATCTCAGGTTCGCCTTCGTTTCGAGCTGCGCCGTTTGGTTGCCGTGCCGTTTCCAGGGCCGCTTCCTTTCGAAAAGGGAGCGTGTCCCGGATCGCTTCCTTCCCGGTTCGTGTCTGGTCCAGGCCCGCCCTAGGCCCGCAGCAAGCAGGTTCAGAGGCTTTCGAAAAAAAAGTTTGGCTCCCAAAAGGTGTGTAGAACATCAGTCAGGAGGGAACAAAAACACACACAGACACAATTAATCGTCGATCCCAAGGAAAATATGGGAAAATATGGGAAGTGGGGGGGGAAGGCAAAAACCCAGAAAAGATGAGGAAATATGGGGAAATCCTTTTATTCGTGTGTATTTTTATCTGTGTGTCCCAGGGCCCCTTCAAGAACATCAGACTGTGTCGCAGAGGGGGTGGATAAGCTCCCGGCGATGCCCAGCAGAGGGCATCCTTGGGGCTCTGCACCGGAGCCTCGAGCGCCTGGCCTCCCCGGGCCTTCCAGAGAGCACATTCGAGGCGCGGAGCGTCTGTTCTTCCAGGCCCAGGAGCCTGGCCTTGGTCCATGGCAGGGCCAGGATGAAGTCGGGCGTGTCCCTCTCGGGCCGGGCGAAAGGGGGGGGGATTGGGAAAGGGGGGGTTACGAAATTTGCTGCATGCAGCTGGTTTCGGCCTCACCGAGGGGCCCATTCCTCGATACGTAGCCGCCTCCGGCGCCGGGAGGCGCCGGGAAAATCAGCTACGCGAGCTGATTCTCAAACCCCCCCTTTGCTATCCCCCCCTTTCGCCCGACCCGAC